TTCACGTGACACACCTTCAGTTTGTATGACTTATCTTCACGTGACACACCTTCAGTTTGTATGACTTATCTTCACGTGACACACCTTCAGTTTGTATGACTTATTTTCACGAGACACACCTTCAGTTTGTATGACTTATTTTCACGAGACACACCTTCAGTTTGTATGACTTATATTCACGTGACACACCTTCAGTTTGTATGACTTATCTTCACGTGACACACCTTCAGTTTGTATTACTTATCTTCACGTGACACACCTTCAGTGTGTATGACTTATCTTCACGTGACACACCTTCAGTTTGTATGACTTATTTTCACGAGACACACCTTCAGTTTGTATGACTTATCTTCACGTGACACACCTTCAGTTTGTATGACTTATCTTCACGTAACACACCTTCAGTTTGTATGACTTATCTTCACGTAACACACCTTCAGTTTGTATGACTTATCTTCACGTGACACACCTTCAGTTTGTATGACTTATCTTCACGTGACACACCTTCAGTTTGTATGACTTATCTTCACGTAACACACATTCAGTTTGTATGACTTATCTTCACGTAACACACCTTCAGTTTGTATGACTTATCTTTACGTGAGACACCTTCAGTTTGTATGACTTATCTTCACGTGAGACACCTTCAGTTTGTATGACTTATCTTCACGTGGCACACCTTCAGTTTTTATGACTTATCTTCACGTGACACTCCTTCAGTTTGTATGACTTATCTTCACGTAAGAGAAACTGTAACACAGATGAGAATGCAAGACAACAGACTAATTGTACAAAATTATGACAAAGTTAAACATACTTGGTATAAACATTTTCATATTGGAGAGGAAGGAAATATCAATTAGTTATAGCCCGCCAAACATTGGCGGTAGCAATGCGTTAACTTCCCATCTACTACTAAAGTTACTTGACATAAACGTGAACTCAAGTTACGCACATTTAGGAATGCCAATGTTGCTACACCCCTTCCCCCCCCCCCTTTTTCATGATACGTCGCTGCACACTTTTTATTTCATGCCCATAAACTATAACCGACCCGCAGCTTAGCAGACGCCGCAAGCTGGCTGGCAAGTGAGGGGAGGGTTTGCCTGCGTCTTGCTTGTTCTGGCGTATTTATATATAGCCTGCGTGGTCTTGTTGCTTGACCTATTTTTCTCTGGTGAATTATATATATAGATATATAACATTGTCAAATGGAAGGGAAGGAAATATCAAGTATATATAACATTGCCATAATAGAGAGGAAGGAAATATCAAGTATATGTAAATCTTCATAATGGAGAGGAATGTAATATCAAGTATATGTAACATCTTCATAATGGAGAGGAAGAAAATATCAAGTATATGTAACATCTTCATAATGGAGAGGTAGGTAATATCAAGTATATGTAACATCTTCATAATGGAGAGGAAGGTAATATCAAGTATATGTAACATCTTCATAATGGAGAGGAAGGTAATATCAAGTATATATAACATCTTCATAATGGAGAGGAAGGTAATATCAAGTATATATAACATCTTCATAATGGAGATGAATGTAATATCAAGTATATATAACATCTTCATAATGGAGAGGAATGTAATATCAAGTATATGTAACATCTTCATAATGGAGAGGAAGGTAATATCAAGTATATATAACATCTTGCTAATGGGGAGGAAGGTAATATCAAGTATATGTAACATCTTCATAATAATTTAGAGGAAGGTAATATCAAGTATATATAACATATTCATAATTGAGAGGAAGGTAATATCAAGTATATGTAACATCTTCATAATGGAGAGGAAGGTAATATCAAGTATATGTAACAATTTTATAGGCCGCGGATCCTTAGACAGTTTGTACATCTAAGGCTTTATCAATTTAATACCAAAAATGCTTTTGTACCGTTTTGAATAAAGAACATATCGAATATCTTGTCAGTTAATTTTATTTCAACGGTCTGGCAACCGTGTTCACTCAAACTCTTATCTAAAGACCCATTGGAGTCAGATTTAGATAATCTAAGCTTTAACAACGTTGCCTGGCAACCTGAATTCATTTAGGAGACGCCAGCATGAAATAAGCGATGCTTTTAGAAAGTGTGATATTGAATATATATAAATCTAGTCTGGTGACCTTTTGGTATGCAAGTGAAAAATAAATGCGGTTCTTGGGGTTGTGGAAGAAAATGATGTCCAACCTGTAACCATAGGCAACAACAACAACAAAAGAGATACAGACAGTCTGAATTTATAATAAAGGAAACAACCGACAGGATTAACCCATGGTGAAAGGACTTTGATTATATAGGGTGTATGGAACACAGGCTAATGTGTGTCACACCTGCTCGTTTCTAGGGACCACTCTCTTACGTGTGTCACACTTGCTCGTGTCTAGGGACCACTCTCATATGAGTGTCACACCTGCTCGTGCCTAGGGACCACTCTCGTATGAGTGTCACACCTGCTCATGCCTGCCTAAGTCTAGGGACCACTCTCTCATACGAGTGTGAGAGTGGTCCCTAGAGACGAGCAGGTGTGACACTCAAACGATAGTGGTCCCAGTGGGCCTCAGGGAACTGATCCTCAATCCAGTTGCTAAGGTGCGGTGATGGGACCCGGGTACGAGTGGCGGCGCTGCGTGTCTCGGCCCATTTTGACTCAGTGCTATGCGGATGTCATTTGTGGTAGTTTATGTTAGTTAAACTTGAGAATTAAGTTTACAAACATATAGTCCATTCAATTATCTTGCATTCGATACCTCATTCTGTCTTACAACCCCAACAATAAAATTTTAAATAGTTTTTTTTAATCCCAACCTCTCACTTCTGGTACCCGGGTGCGAATAGCCACCTTGATTATTTATTCTGTTATAGCTAGACTCACGCATCGATTTACACCGTTGCTATTTTGATCTCTCAAAATTTTCTTGATTCTACCCACTCGTGCTCCGTGTCGATCCAACATCGGAAAAAGTCAATCATTTCGAATTATTTATCCTAAAGATTACCAACCATCGGGCCGCATGAGGTTAACCAAGTTAAATATTGTGGGCCATCGGATGGATCACAAATAGTTACTCCATCATTCATTTGGTGATTACTTTTATACATTGGCATAATTTCAAATATATAAATACATCACTTTTTGTGACAGTATAACCCCACCCCCACCTACTCCTTTTTTTTTTTTTTTTTTTTTTTTTTTCTTTTTTGCCTGATTAAAATAACATATTCAAATTAGTAGATCTAGTCTCCAACCTTAAGGACAAAAGTATAATCTTTTAAAGCCAATTACTATTTAGTAACTACTCAAAATAAAAGATGTATATAAACACAGCCGGGTAAAGGGCACTTGTGTTCCAATAGCATTTCTCCTGGTGTTCCCTGGTGTTCCCTGGTGTTCCCTGGTGTTCCCTGGTGTTCCCTGGTGTTCCCTGGTGTTTCAAATCTAAATTCAGGCATGTGGCATGGTGCATCCCGCATTTTGAATGCATCAATCGTCTCTTTCACTCGGAAGACTTCGGTTGGTGCCGCTGATTCACCTCACCCCCCTTCCCCCCCCCCCCCCCCCCCCCCCATTTTTTTTCAAACCCACGTTTGTCGAACAGAGCACCAATGGCGGCCACAATTTCATCAACAATAAAGCGCTGTACCTTTATATATATATATATATATAACAGTTGTGTTTCGATTTATATCTTTAAAATTTAGTTATGTGTGTAGCGGCACGAGTAGATGTGTTATCGTATGAGAATTAGGTGCGTGAACAATAAATATCTGGTCATGTGTATCGTTTATCAAGAGTTTTGGTGTTATTGTTATTTATTAGGTTTTAGTGGTCCGTGAACAGATAACTCGCGTTAACAAATGGCCCGCGAAGTCAATTATCCCAGTTGTCTCCATCCATCTGACACGGGTAAAAAAAGTAACAATATGATGGGAAATAGGAAGAGGGGCAGAGTTGGTAACTGTGATAGTGCAGGTAACTGAGGTAATGCAGGAAATTGTGGATTTGCAGATAACTGTGGCTTTTCAGGCAACTGTGGCTTTGCAGTTCACTGTGGCCTAATTTTGGCTCAATATAGTAAAAAGATCTCGATAAGCCAATAAAAAGAAAATTGACAGACATGAGAAGCAAATGAAACCGATGAGTGAAGAAACTAATTAAGCTTTAATTCATGGTCTATAACATTTGTGAGAGTCCACGTAAATGAGGCTTATCCGCTATGTGGCCTACTTAACCTGACCCGCTATGTGGCCTACTTAACCTGACCCACTATGTGGCCTACTTACATGGGCGCCCGCAGAAAAATTTCGGGGGGGGGGGGGGAAAAAATCGGTTAACTTTCCCGGGGGGGGGGGCAAAATTTTTTTTCGCCCGCAGAAAAATTTCGGGGGGGGGGGGGCAAAAAATCGATTAACTTTCCAGGGGGGGGGGCAAAATTTTTTTAGTAATGTTTTAACGTAGTTTTAATTTACTGTACCGTATTTGTATGGTAAACGAACGGACAGGACATCAGCTTAGTTACTTTCTCTTTATTTTCTCTTTACTTTAATACATTTTTTGTCTAAAAAAATTTTATCCAATGAACCCAGGGGGGGGAGTGCCCCACCTTGCCCCTACCTGCGGGCGCCCATGCCTACTTAACTTGACCCGCTATGTGGCCTACTTAACTTGACCCGATTTGTGGCCTACTTAACCTGACCCGCTATGTGGCCTACTTAACCTGACCCTTGACACGTCAGACACCTCACATTACATGTCTACGTAGCATAGTTAACCTAACCCATGACACGCCAGATACCTCACATTACATGGCTATGTAGCATAGTTAACCTGACCCCTGACCCATCAGATAACAAGCAGTTCACACACACACATCAAACTAGATCATCTAAGGTTATGTGGTTTATAGTTTATTGATCACATCAACTTACAATACACAATTATTATTATTTTTAATCTCAAACATTTATCAAGTACTTTCAACTGCATTCAAACAAATTTTTTGTTTTTTTCCCTTTTAAAAAAAAAAAAAAAAAAAAAAAAAAACTCTTTTAAGTTATTATTTATATTTGGGTAGGCTAGTTTGGGAGTAAATGGGAAACACAGACATCTTTTATAGTCAATCTGCTCTCAATTTACTATTCTTTTTTTCCTTGAAACCACACGAAAACTGCAGGATTATTTAATGTTTTGTAAAAATAAAAGTAAATTCTTTATCAAACGTGACATTTCTTAGTCTGAGCTCCATGCACCATTTAGTTTCCTTTGATATGGCCAGTGATTTCATGCTCCATTTACTGACCTACTTTCATTATCCTCAGACTAAAATTAAATACTTTCCTTATTAAAGCATTTATTATAAGCCTCATAATAATAGTAAAACATTAAAATAATCCATGAAGTAAATTTTATTTTTTTTAAAATTGATTCTGAAAAAGAGAGAGTCCTTTAAAGCATAACAAAACAATATTTAAAATACATCTCAAAGGAAATTATGGTCTTTCCACATCTGCACATTAGCCAGCAGTAAGGATACATAATATTTCTAAAAAAAATTGTCACTAAAATTGACAGCAAAACTTCTACTAAATTAAAATTATATGACCAACAAACTGAAACATGCAGATACACAATGCCTCTAATTTTCTATTCAGTTCTATGCTATAAGACTTGCTAAAAAAAATACTCTTTTCCTCAAGCAACACAATTTTTTGAAAAAAATGTTATTTAAATAAAAAAGAAGAAAAAATGGCAAATGAGATTGTAAAAAATAAAAAAATAAATATAAAAATGCTGATGCAATGTTTAAGATAAACTGCCTGATCAAAGAAGTGATTTCATATTTAATTCCTTAATGAAAAAATGGGAAAGCAAATCTGTTGGGTTTTTGCTGAAATAGCATCTCTTGGTAATCTACAAAACAAATCAGATCTTTGGTCAAACAGATTCTCTTCAAAAGAAATTTAATCCCAAATAATATTCACAACATACTTGGTGGTATAAAATATTCACTGCAAAACTAATTCAGCAATGTCACTCCTAAATCCTTTATATACATATATAATAATAATTTGGTAATACCATTAGCAAACAATGTAATTGTTCACTTATCTATTATGGTTGAATCAGGGAACATGATTTTGGAAATCTCTTCTTTGGCTAAAAAGAAATAAAAATTCATCAACCTGGCAAAGTGGCTCTATTCTTCAGAACAGAATTAAATGGGAAAAGTACAGAGCACACAATTCATAAGGCCAAGCATGTTCCCTGATTTTACGTGACTTATGTACAGGATGGGACTCAATAAATACGATAATGTTTACTTTTGCTATAGAACAACTATAATAAATTTGTACATACATTTGAGATTGTAAGGCTCTGAAGGACATTTCCCAATACTTTTTTAAGATCTTTATGAAGCTCAGATATTTGATCCTTCAGTTGAGATTGCAGCAAAAACTGTTGTTGTGCATTTCTAAACAAGACAAATGTACTTGTACTTGCTAAAAATACTACTGGACATTTGCAATCCAGAAAAATATTTACAAACAATTTATAAAATGATTATAAATTTCTGTTGTTTTTTTTTTCATCCCTAGCATCTTCTATTTTAAAACATGTCTAGGCTGATATGATCTCATCAGACTCCCACATTTTACAGAATGAAAAATATCACATCATTTTCAAGGGCTGCAAAAAGGTAGCTGTGTTTTCGTTAGTGTATTTCAAATTCTCTTTGTTAGTATTACATTAATAACCGTTCAACACCAACAAGATGGGCAGGTGAGTTAGTGATAGCTCAAGCCGTGTATCAAACATCACAGCTACCATGGGCTGGTGAGTTAGTGATAGCTTAAGCTGTGTATCAAGCATCACGGCTACCATGGGCTGGGGAGTTAGTGATAGCTCAAACCATGTATCAAACATCACAGCTGCCATGGGCTGGTGGGTTAGTGATAGCTCAAACCATGTATCAAACATCACAGCTACCATAGGCTGGTGAGTTAGTGATAGCTCAAACCACGTATCAAACATCACAGCTACCATGGGCTGGTGAGTTAGTGATAGTGTCAAATATCACAAACACCATAGGCAATTAAGTATCTAACATCACAACCGCCATGATCAGTGAAGTATCAAACATCATATTGACCATGGGCAGTGATATTTAATAAAGAGATATGGGTTAATTAAATTGACTTCATCCAGGAAAAAAAAAATGTTCTTAATCATTTAGGCATGTTAATGTTAAGCTTTCTGACATTAAAAGTAATGTAAAATGGACTCTCCCTATATGATAAATAATATGCAAGTTCTCTATATTGCAGTCCCAATCCAATGTAAAACAATTTTGAGGAAGAAAAACCTTGTCAGTATAACAACAAGTTAAAATAAAAATGAGAACCATTTTGTGATCAAATGCAGTAAATTTTATCTGTAGACCCAACAATAGCTGAATATAAATCCTTTAGAATCAAAACAAACAAGAGATGAGCTTTGCATGAATGTTATACTATTTGTATCAATTAGAAGTAGAAGGCTTCTTCACTAGGTTTGTAACTTTGAGAAAAAAAAAACATTTCTGATCTTATTGCCCTATAATTCAATCTTTTTTTTTAAAAAGAGAGACTTTGCAAGATATCTCATATGTTCTTCGGCCTTCTGTTTTAATGCATCTAATCTTTATAAACAGATGGAAGTTTTGTCCAAGCATATGCAATAATTGTATTGTCCAAGCGCATCCAATAAGTGGATTGTCCAAGCCAATACAATAAGTGGATTGTCAAGGTGCATCCAAAAAATAAATGGATTGTCCAAACACGCCCAAGTGGACAATGTAGTAGGTGCATGATATCCGGAAGTAATGGCAGTTATATATATGTGGATTTTGGGAAAATTGATGTTGGATAGACAAAGATTAGCTTGAATATCATGGAATGTCCCCTGCCAGATCCAATGGATCTCTTGTTCATGCAATGTATCAACTTCACCTTTTGCCTTGAGATGACTTTTAAGATCAATTTAAGGTCTTTGCACATTTCATCGTGTCTGCTGAATAACAATACTTGGTAAAACATTATTTTAGCAGGCATTATACTGACAGCTGTCTATTTAAAAGTGTTTATTACTTTTAATAAAACATAAGCTTAAAATAGAATGTGCAGTCTTTGCAAAAGGTGACTTTTTTTTTTCCTTTTTCTTTAAAAAAATTAAAAGTTCTTTCCCTTTAATAATAACATCATTGCAGTATTTTTTTTATCCTTACTACAAAAAAACTAAAAGGAAGAGAGTAAGAGATATATGATATCACATAGAAAAAGATGATATTTTATGATATCACCTGGATTTGACTAACATTTAATGATATCACCTGGGTAAGGCTGACATTTTTGTGATGAATTCAGGCAAGGCTTGAAAAAATAAATTTAGTATGGGTGTTAATATAACAAAATTGCAAGAGATCAAATATGGATGACCCTTACATAATGCATATGTTTTATATGTCTTAAAAAAGATTATATTTTTCATTAGATAGCTTTACAAATGTAAAATCAAATCAATTTACAAGACACTGGTATTTACAGATTTTTTTTTTAAATTATCATTTTTTTTTTTTTAAATCCTGCATAAGTTACACGTATCTACATAGCTAAAACAAAAAGCAGTCCAGCTAATGTCTGTCAACATAAAATCATAATCATCAAACCTTTTAGATCAATTTAAAAAAAAGATTTGCATTTTATTTTTAAAAAGATAACACTCATAAGCTAATCATGTACCTGCTTATATTCACTTTCATATACACATAAAAGTTACTAATTCTAGAGTTATAAATAGAGACAGAATTTCCAGCTAAAAATTCAAGTTACATCAAAAAGAAGAGTACACAAGAAATATCCATATTGTTATTGAGCAGATAGGAGTATTTCTTTAAACCATTATTCATATTTAATATGACAATGTGAATTTTCTTCATTTTTTCTGTCTTTTCTTTTTTTTTTTGCATTACAAAAATTAAATATTGCACATTTACAAAATTGATGTACTGTTTGGTAATATATTATTCATATAAAAATGTTGTTTTTTTGTCCTGTTTCCTTTCTTAAAGCCACTTTTTATTTTTGTAAACCACAATCCTATCAAACAACTTTATCAGAGTCTTTTTCTGCCAGGAGCCCTTTTTTCTTCACATCCTCCTCCTCTTCTTCATCTTCTTCATGGACAGTTTCCTGGATTTCATGCAAGCCAAAGCCAACATCTCCTTCTTCCTCATCATCATCTTCACCTCCAGCCCACTTCTGGATCTCACCCTTACCCAAAATGCAATACCTGGAGATAGATTAAAAACTGCTTTAAATCTCCCATTTGGTTAATCGCTTTTCCTATTATTTCATTGAATAAAGTACCTGCATGTTTTCTGAATGCTTTTTAATCAATATATGAGATATTTAAAAATTTCTCAAGAACCTACCACAAAGCACCGAAACAATAAATTCCAGCTGCCACATAAAAAGTTGATAGCCATTGTTCCCTGGTACCCTGGTGAAATGATTAGAACAAATATTATTTAAACAGTTATTTAAAAATTTAAATTAAGTCTACTATTCACAATTTCATATTTTATTCGCAAATTTAAAAAAAATTAGAACTATAACAAAATTTTGGAAAGAGAACAGAAATCCTATGCAAATCTTATCAAACATCTTTCATGAATTGTATAAGATCTACAATTAATTTCACAAATTAAAGCTGAATTAATTGACAAATGAAAATGTAAAAGGTATTGGTTTTAACAGTATTTTAAATATAACTGTTCCTATTAGATCCTATGTGATTGCAAAATAATTTGAACTCTACCCAAGGTTATCAGGAAATTAATGTGTCTGCCAAATGCCTAATTTAATCTACTCATCATATCATATCATATCATATCGTATCATATAATATATATATACATAAAAGTGAAATTTTGTTTGTGGAATTGTGGGTTTGTTCCACAAAGGCTTTTACAAGGATTGATGGATCTTGACCAAACTTGGCACATATATCCATCATGATCCAGAAAGAAATCTTAAGGGGTTATGATCTTTTTATAACATTCCGTTTGGGGCCGGGGGCCCCGAATTCATTTTTTTCCTAATATGAGCTATATAAAAATAATTAGAAACAAATACTCATACATGAGTAGATGGACCGAAGGGTACTGAACTCATAATATCCATTTTTCTGAGGCCGGGGGGCCCATTTAATTTTTCCTTATATAAGCTATATAAATATAACTAGGCTTAGACAACACTAGAGTTTCTATGTGAAGTGATAGATAGTCCTAGCGTTGTAGCAATGCACTTCATTGGCTGTATTGATATACCTGTGGATTTAAAACTAATAATATCCAATCTAGAATTTTCCAGAAACTTCCATAATTTTAAAAAGCTATATCTATGGCATTTTAAAGTAGATTTTTATGGGATCAATTTTAAATTTTAACTTTATTATTTATCTATCTGATTTTATAGGACCCCTTAGCTCAGGTATAAATATATCGGTACAGTAATGGAATGGGCCCCTGGGGTCCCTCGATTAGCTTAAAAGAAACGGATTATAATTATGGCATTTGTTGAAAATTTTTATCATATTTGAAAAAATAATTAGATAAGTAGTTTTTACACATGTTTCGAGCAGGTTATTAAATTTATTCTAGAATGTTGCAGAAAGTTCTAAATTGTTCCTAAGGGATATGTAGTGGGATCTAAGGGAATATTGAAATGTTAGTTAGTTCTATTCATTTCTATACTGTTCCGGAGTTTACTGTTCTCTCAGTAACACTTTTTTTTATACAGGATCCCAAAGGGGTCGGGATCCCATCATAATCTTTTAGGATCTTTTTAGGATCCCACCAGAAAACTGGATTCCACCTGGATAAGGATCCCAACCTTGAATGGATCCACCGGGATCGGGATAAAACCGGGAAACGGGACTACGCAGGGATTGGTGTCAGAATGGGATTAGGGTTCAAATGGGATCGGGGTCACACAAGGATGGGGTCCTAATGCAATCCCGTGCAACGCCGGGTATATTGGCTAGTATATATATAAAAGTGAATGTTTGTGGCTTTTACAAGGATTGATGGATCTTAACCAAACTTTGCACATATATCAATCATTATCCAGAAGGAACTCTTAAGAGGTTATGAACTTTTTATAACATTTGGTTTGGGGCTGGGGCCCAAAATGTTGTTTTTTGCTATATGAGCTATATAAATATCAATAGGCTTTAGTATTCTTACATGAATAGATGGATCTTGACCAAACTTGGTACACATATATCTGATTATCCATTTTCAAATTCCGAAAGGTAGTGAACTCATAATATCCATTCCTATGGGGCTGGGGGCCCTGTTTCATTTCTTCTTAAATAAGCCATATAAATATCAATAGGCATAGACAACACTTTAGTTTCTTTGAGAATTGATGGATATATGCCTAGCGTTGTAGCAATACCCTTCATTGTCCGTATTGAAATATCGGTGGATTAAAAACTAATAATATCCATTCTAGAATTTTCTAGAAAGTTCTATAATTTTAAAAAAGCTTTTTTGAACCGATTTTAATGGGACAAATTTTAATTTTAACTCTATTATTTATCCGTCTGATATTTGTAGGGCCCCTATCTCATGCATAAGTAAATGTGTACAGTTATGGAATGGGCCCCCCTTGATTAACTTAAAAGAAAAAGGATTATAATTATGGCATTTGTTGAAGATTTTTATCGTATTCAAAAAATAATTAGAAAAGTAGTTTTTACACATTTTTCGAGCAAGTTATTAAATTTAATCTAGAAAATTCCAGAAAAGTCTAAATTGTTACAAGGAGATATATAGTGGGATCTTAGAAAATATTGAAATGTTAGTTAGTTCTATTCATTTCTATACTGCCCCAGAGTTTACTGTTCTCTAGGTATCACTAAAGAATTTTTCGATTCGGGATCCCATTATAAACTTTATCCGAAAAGGATCAGGATCCCACCAGAAAACGGGATCCCACTGGGATCAGGATCCTAACCTTGAATGGATCCACCGGGATCGGGATCACACCGGGAAATGGGACCTCGCCGAGATCGGTGTCAGAATGGGATCGGGGTCCCAATGGGATCGGGGTCCTAATGCAATCCCGTGCAACGCTGGGTATATTGGCTAGTTCTTAAAATAAAGGAAAGATTTTTTCTTATTTCCCTGAATAACATGCATGAATATTTGCCTATAATCATGTTTTACTTTTAATCTGAATTTTTTTCATAATGTGAACATTCTATATCGAAATGTAAAAGGAGACATAAAAATGAGTTTTTAATTAGCTTCATTTATTTTATTTGCTGGTGATAAGCTAAGGCTTAGTTTAAAATATTTTTTTTCAAATACAAAGTCCTTCACATTGAAGATTTTCTTTAACAAATTTTAATTACCTAGATTTGTTAGCTGTAATGAAACAAGTTTTGTTAATTATATTATACAATTGCACTTGTTTTACATTAAGTTAAAAACTTGGACAGGAAATTATTTTACCTGCTAAATGAGAATTAGAGCTAAAATTTTACATGTTACTTACATCTTTAGTCATTGCCGACACAATGTAGGGAGACAGGATCCCTGGTACAGTGGCTAAGGTGTTGGAAATACCAAACAGTGTGCCTGCATAGGGTGGAGCAATGTCACCATGGTTGATGAAGAACCCAGAAAAGTGAACTCCACACAAGCCGATGGCTAAGGTCAACAAAATGACTGCTGCCACCTGCTGGTCACATTCCATAAAACCAGTTGCAATAAGGAAAGCAGAAGGTCCCACCATTCCTGTGAAAGAATGGCAATGTAATTAATATTACATTCTATGTTGTAAATTTGTTATAGAGACCTGTTTTCACTGGAACTCCCAAAATAGTACAATAAAGTCTCAGAATAGTACTTTACCTCTTAAAAGTGTACAATACCATATTGTAATAGTAAATAATAAACATTGAAAATAGTAAATAATAGTAAATTATAGTAAATAATAAACAAAGTATAATGCATACAATAATAACTATTCGCATGGCATGTCTAATAAAAGTCACTTCTCAAAGTAGACAATTGATGTTTATACATTTCTAGATAGTGTCCGAATAGTCTAAACTGAGCAAATGTCAGCCAAAAGCACAGTCAAGCAAATAGCATCACCAGCAACCTTGGTGGATGGGACTCGTTAACCTTTGATGGCAACTCATCTATGAGAAGGAAAGTCTGAATTCAAACCCAGAGATGGAGTCCTGTAGGTTGATTACATTGGTATGATGAAACATTAACATTCCCACAACTTCTTGGGTTATCCAGCTCCCATTTACTGTTGGGATCCAGCTTATAATCCTAGAACAATAATCCTAGGCCTTGTGGATTTCGTCTTTGCGAAGTCTTCACCATCGTCACATTGTGACAAATGGACACCAGCAAAAAAAAAAAAATTTCTAGATAGTGCATTAAGCATAGGAGCCTGATTTTATTTTCCATTTTCATATTAAAGTTTATAGTCTTAATAACCACAACAAGCCATGTAGGGAGAATGGAAGAGGAGTGCTTGAACAAAACTGGGGTGATGAAATTGTACAGGTGCTTCTACAAACAGATTTTAAATGCTGCTTTATATAACTTATAAATTATGTCAAAATCCAATGCTGCTGAGTGGAGCAGTTCATATTGCATTTTTTTTTACAATCCATAAATTTTCTCCATTTTCGCAATCTCTACCATACAGCCAAAGTACGAAATAATTCTGTCACAAAATTAAGTCATACAGCACCGAAGCAAACAAAAGCGGAAGCTGACTCAATTTATCAGTAGGGGAATAGCTAAATACTACTTTTGCTGTATATAGCGAGTTCATTGTGAAAACACAAAGCAACACTATGATAATCATGAAATGTGGTGGTGTTATTTTATAGGCTTTAAAAATATTTAGACACATCTCCCTACCCCTCCCATGCACAAAAGTACCCTTCCACCACCTTTCGCCTCTCAATATGTACATAATATAATTGTGTACGGTCCCCAGTCAAACATATTTCTCTTTCTATTCATTGCTGGGTGTAGAAAAAAGGTAAGCTAACAACCTCAAACGTCGTTTTATTTATATAAATCGTAAAAACCACCCGAATATATTTTTTAACCTGGTCTTGTCCAATCATGGTTCTGACAGGTCTCAGCACACAATCATAAAAGACATCCCCAAATCGCATATTGTAAGCCAAAATCATTAGAGTAAAAAGGTCTGGTTATATCAAGAGGAATCGCAGCAACTATTTTGTTTTTAAAATAAAACTTTTTGAACCTTAAATTAAATGAAATAGATATGGCATTTTCTTAACATTTGTTTATTAATTAACTGTGACATATATCTCACAAAGATGTTAGGAAAATAGTTTTAATAAATAATATATTTTAAACATTCTAAAAAAGAAGAATATAATTTGTAATTCATAGGCCATTAATTTTAGCTTAAAAAGTATTAGTTTTAAAAATCTTCTAGGCACCTCCTTATGTAGAAGCCAGTGCGTATCATGAACTTCGCACATGCCATAATACCAGGCCAGACTTACCTATTGCTGACATTAATTTACGTGTGTTTCCTACAGACAATATTTCTCTGGAGATAAGCAGATCAGCTATCATGCCACTGAGAATTATGATGAACCAGAACAGTAAGTATGGCAGCATTGAGAAAACACCATTCTGTGGAGAAATTGTACAATGATTATTAGTGTGTTAAAATTATTTTGATGCTCTTAGAGAATAGCTTAACATTGAATGTACACATTTTGTACTTGACTTGAAAAATACATTTTTTCCAACCTAAAATTTAAAAAAAAAAATTAATTGTTAAATTTTAAATGATCAATGTATAAAGTTCATTTTTTTTATATATAATTTTACACATTTTCATCCATCAAAAACAAAATAAGGAAAGAAGAACATTAAGGAAATAAATCTAGTAATTAAATGTTTAAGACAAATAATCATAAACTCTTTTAAAAAGAACATTTTTAAAAATATATTAAACAGCCCCTTAAAATAAAGTTTTTCGCATCAATCCTTTATAAAATTTAATATCGAGCAATGGGGAGTGGGACTGAAAATTTGAAAAAGTGCACGTAACGCACTTTATACGAATACAATAAGTGCCCTCCCCAGGCTAGCAACCGCACATTTTTTTCACACCCCTGAACTATATTAATATTCTAATTACCCACCCGCTTTTACACCACAGATTTATTACACCAACTATTTCAGAAAAACAAAAGAAAATATTCACCCAACGCACTTGCGATATTTTTAATAATTTCATTTAGCGCTGATATCTGGAATTTTATTTAGTGAAGTCATCTTGCCTTCATCATTCCCTTAAAAAACAGAAAAAAATGATTTTTGGGGAGGGTGGGGCTGAAACTTTAAAACAATGTGTTGTTATCTGCAACGAGTCTATGTGCCATGTTTCAGCTCAATAGGTTGATGGGAATTGGGTCAATTAGCCAACTCAAGATTTTGCCAAACACCCAACCAGAAAGAAACACATGAACAAAAGTGAAGTTAATATAAAGGATTTAAAAAATAAATTTTAAAATTCATTTCAAAAGTACAATACCTACTTTTGTGTCCCAGACCAGACTAAATACGAGATTTATATAAAATGTTTACAAAAAACATTTGAAAGTTTTTATTTTGTTGAAAATGCAACTCGTAACCTAGCTTTTTAAAAAAGTTACTTTGAAATTAATAAAGTAGTCGATAAATTGTAATATTTCTTATAATTTTTAATTTTTTTTTAAATGTTAACCTAGCATTTCACGTATAAAATTAACTAACATTTCAAGAATCAAGTTAATACCTGCCTTGGATTAGGTTTGAACAAAAGATTTTATAAATTTACTTACCGATTTTATGTCAAATTTAAGGACCTCTTTCATATAGGCTGGTAATTTTGTCAGTAGCATGTAGGCGCCATAATTTCCACACATGTGAGCCACCAGAATAGCCCAGACTGGTCTAGATGTAAAAATGGCTTTCCAAGGGATTTCTTTGTTCTGAAGTAAAAAATTTTCTCAATAATTCTTATGTGATGTTTAATATTTTGAATCAGCTTATAGTTATAGTTCTTTTTTTTATTTAAGCTTAAAATCAAGGCTATCTGGTAATTCAACTTTATTTATTAATCCTTTTCTCTTTTGAAACAATAAATATTTTTCAAACAAAAAAATTTAAGTCCGCCCAAATGCAGACAGCAGGGGAAGAGTTAACCATGAGAGAAATTTAAAATCTTTTTAAATTACCTAAGCAGTATGAAATCACGTTTAATGAATGGAAGGATGTTTATTAACTGAAAGGAAATTTACTGTAAGGAAGGAGAGTTGTATGACAGAATTTTGTGGTGTATGGAAGTAATTTTTTCGTACTGAAGGAGTTTGAAAAGAATTTAAATTAATCTAAAAGGATAATATACCGCATTTTATGGACTATAAGATGCACTTTTTTCTTCGAAAAATAGCCTCCAAAATTCAGGTGCGTCTTATTCTCGAAATTAATATAAAAATGTAAAAATGTTTTGTTTTTTTTAAAAGTTGCATAAAAATTAAGGTGAGTCTTATAGTCCGTAAAATACAATAGTAATTGACAAAGTGTTATTAAGATTTTATTGTTCTTCATTGATAACGACAATTTCACTAGAAATTTAGTTAACTAACTAATCAGATTAACTAAAGTGTATTCTGCAAATCTGATCTTATGCACTGTTAGTAATTTATATGACAATAAATTAACTCTGAAACCATCAATAACCCATTGATTTGTCAGTTTGATATCCATCTATCCCACCATGAAAAAGCTTGAAGAAAATATATTGTTCAAATTATCTCAAAGAGACTGCTATGGTTCGGATACGGAGACAACTCACAATTGTTTTGCCTTTTGATCTCTGGCCAATAGAATATTTGATGAACTTCTTCTCAATGTCAGAGATGGTCTTGTCCTGGTCAGGCGTGTCACTGACCAGCCAAACCCAGAAGACACACCAGATGAATCCAGCTGAACCTGTAAGTATGCATAACAGTTAGAACAGGAGAGCTAGAGCCAGCTAAACCTGTAAGTGTACATAACAGTTAGAACAGGACACCTAGAACATGGTGATTTGCCACAGGGTATTTTATTCATGAAATAATGAACACTCAAAACAAAATGAGTAAATAAAATATATTCAAATTAATATCTCATAATTGTCAAACTATGCAGGCAGATGTTATTCTAGTTTTTCTTTGCCTTTGTGGCTCCTAGTAGAGCATGTGCCATTCACAAGACTGAAAGAGATTTGTCAAACTCACCAATTACGTAGAAGACACTTGGCCAGCCACCATCAAAACCATAAGCACACAAATACCCAGCAATAGGGAAGATGAGGGCATTTCCAAACTGACCACCTGGTATTATTTAAAAAAAGAAATATAATTTTTTCCTACTTAGTCTTTTCTTTTGCACATTTAATCCACGAACTGTGTTTGTTATGCTTCTGTACTGTGCAAGCAATTTAGAGCTTTTTGGATGTCTTTGAAAATTATGATTTTTTCACATGCAAAGACTATAGCTAGACCCCATTAAGTATATATTTATTGAAAGTAGACTGAGTGGGGAATCATATTTGCTATTTTTTTTAATGCTATTTTATACTCTGTGACCGTGATTTTGACCTTGGAGTGGCAAAGGATTAAGAAAATAATGAAAAGTTTTATTTTCAAGTACCTCAAATTACAATTTTTAAAAGACGTATTATTATAATGTTTATATAATATGATAGCATTTTATTTATCTGTCAGAAAATAATTATTTGTATATGTTTTAGTTATTTATAGATTTTTTCATTTTTTAAATTCTTCTGATACCTCTAATACGTTCAAGTAACCAAGCACAACATAAACAATATAAACATTACTAAATAGCAAGAAACAGATAAAATTTAAAAAGCTGCTATATAAATATTTAATCCAAAAAATGAAATATAAGAAAACATATGTAGAAACAACATCCAATTATTTTTTGTTAGTACAAAGTCATCTGAAACATAGTTTTTATCGAGTCTTGCTGTTGCGGCATTGCCTACTCGCTCTAGGCCTAGGTCTAAATCATCTGAACTATCGCTTTCTGACCCACCAGAACAATAATCGGAATTATCATTGTCTTCGTGTGTGATAGGAAAATCATCTTCTGAATCATATAAGTCATTAACTAAAAGGAATTGTCAAAAAAATTCTTAACTGATTTATTTTGTAATCCAGATTGTCCAGCTATGGCCCCATCCATTTCATGAACATCTATTTTACAAATTTGCTTGATAAAGATCATTGTAAAAAAATAACTCCAAAAGGGCACAGAAGAGGGAAAAATATTTATTATTAAAAGGAAGTAGTTTTATTTAGTGTAAAATGTTGGACTGGAAGTTGTTCTTTCAACACACTTTTTATCAGCCGATAAAATAAGCGGACGCAGTACAGGAAGAGGAAATCGACCGATTTAATCGGCCGTCCACAGTTCGTGGGTTTAAAAAAATATATTTTAGAAATTTTTTAAAAAGAGTAAAACTCTTAATTCATTTCACTCTAATAAATCTTTCCTCTCAACATTAAATAAAATAATTCTATCAGTTATGTCATACCTGCATAAGAAAATCCAATTAGACGACTCCTTTCATTGGGAGGAGCCCAACTGGCCCAAAATGCCTGGGCAGCAGGATACATGACACCCTTAATAAACAAATGCATGACACAATTAATCCATTACCTCCTTAACTTATAATAGAAGAAACCCTCAAAATAGAACATGGCACTTCAATTGAATAACGCTGATATACAATTTTTTAACCTAAAATTTAATTTGCTTGATTCTTAGTTTCAACAACAGTGATCTAAAAATAGATCAAATAGTTTTTAATTTTGACTCCTGAATGATGGCATGAACAACATAATATTTCTAGGCCTTTATTTCATGTGAAAGGCAAAATTAATGCATTTTTTAATGTATCCACCTATTGAAAAAGACTTTTAAGAAGGAATATGCCTTGATTTGTTTTGTCTTGAGTAAAGCTTCATAATAAGCCATTTAGCTTGCATGAAATAAGTTGCAAATGTTATAAATAAATTTAAACATTAATTGTCTTATTGCATTTTTTAAAGAAAAGGGTAAAAATTTTATGAAAACAAAATTGATGTTTCAATAAAAGTAAGTACTCACTGACCTCACCAAGACCAATAATTACTCTGACCACTAGGAAAAGGTAACGACTGGCTCTGGCCGCTACAGGCGAGAGAATTGTCAAGATAGCCACAGGAAACATGGCGATAGCGATCACCTTCTTAGCTCCAAATCTGTTTAACAAATACAAAGTTATTGCAGTAGTGATGTGTCCACTATATCAGCATTCCATTAAATGCCATATCAGTTCAGTACATTGATGGAAATTCTAAATCTATTAAGTGAGAACAAAAAAAGTCCCAGAATTCAATGGACTATTTCTCAATATTGAGTTAAGAAAAAGACACCTTCAATACAATCTTCAATAAAACATGAAGTAGAAATAGTAAAATGGGTCACCTTTCGCTGAGTCTTCCACCTATCACTATATCAGCATTCCATTAAATGACATATCAGTTCAGTACATTGATGGAAATTCTAAATCTATTAAGTGAGAACAAAAAAAGTCCCAGAATTCAATGGAATATTTCTCAATATTGAGTTAAGAAAAAGACACCTTCAATACAATCTTCAATAAAACATGAAGTAGAAATAGTAAAATGGGTCACCTTTCGCTGAGTCTTCCACCTATCACTTGGAATACAAGATACCCCCAGAAAAATGCTCCAAGCAGAAGACCCTCATCTTCTTTACTCCACAGAAATTCTCCATCCTTTCATGCCACAGTTGTGGTTAGCATTATGAAGTTTAAAAAATATTTTTGAATGACAATGAAACAATGTGAGGGGATGAGCATTTTATTCATGTGTGTACAATAGTCTGCAATAATACCAGAGACTAGCAGGTTATAGTTATTTAAGGCCGGCAGTTTAATTGTGTAAAAAATATATTTTCTGTATCTCTCCATTTCATTTTAGCTATACACCTGCAGTGTGAGTTATGATGTGTAAAGCAACTATAAAGTATGACTTTGTCTATCATAATGTGTGTATGATCAAAATGGAAGCTGAGTTAAATAAACTAACTGCTAAACTTGATTTCAGCTCAGGACATTTGGGTTCTTCTGGTTTTGTCAGGTTATCGAAGCTGTACTGTGTGAAGTTGTCAGAGAAGGTCAAGTTACTGAAATAAAAACAAACATTGGATTAGAGACAAACATTGAACTATTTATATAAATAGACAAGTTTGATAGATACATACAAGCACAAGATAATTTTAAAAAATGTAAGACTCACAAACTCTGAAAGACATACAAACACTAAAACTATTGATAAATCAACAAAGTCAAACTTACAACAGCCTAAAATTGAAAATAAATTCATTTATGTCTCATCTCGACAAGAACATTAAAGCGATAATTGAAACTATATAATTGACACTTTTATTTTATTTTTTTTTAAATGAGTACTGTATTTACTCTTTCTAAAGCCTAATTAAAAAGAAATATTTTCAAGGGAATGTGTGTGGTAGTCATCTTATGTTGCTGTGGTCAAAGGAGATTTTCAAAATTTTTTAGGCCCAGTGATTAATGAAATTGTTTATGCAGATTTTCAAGGTGCTGGTCACTGTACAGGAATCAACTATGTTAAAAAAAGTGTTAATATTAATATATATCTGCAATTACATAAATGATTAATTTGAATAAACTTAAGTTTTAATGTCACGTTTTACCAATGCTGATCTTAACCCAAAAAAATTAATTCATGAGCTTCCACTTACACATAACAACAAAACAAAGATACCGGAAGTCGATGGCACCTGTGGTCAGTTTAATAATCACCAGCGTAATCTTATTGTAGAAATTATTTATAACTTTGGTATCCTGTTTTTTCTGGTCATTTTTCCCATGGGGATCAGGCTTTTCCCCTTGAAAATTAAGAGTGGGGGGGGGGGGGGGGGGGGTGGGGGGGGATGAGGGGTGTGTGTCCATCTTACAAAGTGAAGGGACCTAATCTATTATAGAAAATCTCTTGATTATTTCATCACATTAAATATCCAACAGCACCATCAAACGTGAATCTGATTAAAGGAACTCATTTAAAGGTAATAAAATTAACTATTCCTGATACATTTACACTTACCTACTGTTGGAACTAGAAGAAGAGTTGTACTTTAATGCTGAATGATTCACCATAGAGACGATGGCTATGCTGAGGTTGACTCTCTGAGCATACAAAATAACAAAGCCAAAGAAGGAGAGAATAGCCAATCGAAACCTGTGGGAAGTCCACCATGGCACTAGAAAATGAATGAATGATAACAGCATTAAATTAAATCAGTCGTGAATTTATGTCTTGTTATGGCATAAGTGTATGCCCAATTCTAATATTGTGGCCTCCACTTGTCTCCCCCACTTTTTTTTTTTATATATTGTCGTCACCTATGAAATGGGATGTTCCACTCCTTTTACCCACCCTTCCTTTGATTTATAAAGGTTTTTTTATGTTCAAATAAGTTATAATGTTCTAAAGAAGGCTATCAGGTGACGAAATTTCAAGAATTTCTTCTCTAGAGGGTACTGATTTAGTACCTTTATATAAGCCAGCAGCTTTCCTAGCCGGGAGAGATATTTGCCAATTTTCTGAGACATTTACGATATGTAATATACTTGCAAAGATTGTACTCTTTACGTGTGTGAGTAAATTAATATTTGTATATTTACCAACACTTTCTCTTAAACACACAACCTACTAGGGTTCACATTTATAACACAAAATACTAGCATTCATATCTATCACACAACATACCAACATTCCTATCCATTGATTGATTGATTGAATACTAATATAGTTATATAGCCTTTGTATCCATGCTATTTAAGCATGCTCACAGGGCTCTGATGTTCTTAAATCTGTTTAAAGAAAAAAGTCTTTAAATGTTTCTTAAATTATTTTTTTAATCATTTTCAATTTCCCTCAAAGATTGAGGCAAACTGTTCCATAATTTTAGAGCTATAGCTTCAAAAGAGCACACTCTTATGACTTCTTTCTGTATCCATCCAAACTGGGAACTCTCAGTAAGGACTGTGTTGAAGAGCGCAGGTTCCTTAAGGATATGTGTTTAGAAATCAGTTCTTAAAGATATTCCGGTGCAGAGCCTTCTATACAGCTGTAAGCCAAGGAGAGAATTTTTAGGTCAATGCGCTCACTCACAGGAAGCCAATGGAGATCTCTAAGAACTGGGATGATGTGGCCAGAATTTCTTTATCCCCGATACAATGCATGCTCTAGTATTTTGTTACTTCTGGAGTCTCTGAATTTGGTTCTAAGGTAAACCCCACAAACAACTGTTGATCTAATCTTGATTGGATTAGAGTTACTGCTATGGCATTGGCTGTTCTCTTATTAAGTTGAGGACGCAGCTGACCAAGGGCGCGTAGACTATAGAAACAAGCCCAGACCATAGAACTGATATGAGGAATAAGTTTACTGTAAGTATAAAACCCAAGGTCTCTGACAGTGTTGGACAAGGGGATCTCAGAAGCACCAACTTGTATCGATGCGATGGCAACCTTCGGAGATTGGCGTCAGAGCCACACATAATTGCCTCAGTCTTATCGTCATTTAATTTAAGTCTGTTTGATGACATCCATGATTTCACAAGACAGCAGACCTCAACAGCCTGAACAGAGCCAGGACAGTCCCAAGGATCAGGGCAGAAACACTTGTACAGTTCTGTGTCATCCGCAAATAATTTGCGGGAAATACCATGACTTTCAATAAATAGGGTACTGGGTGGCCGAGCGGTCTAAACTGTCTCAAACCAAATAGCTGGTGGTCTGGAGTTCAATCCCCACCAAAGCCAACATCCCAAGCACCCCAGGTTGATGGGACTTGTTAGCCTTGGACGGCAACCCATCTAATTTAAAACCAGGAGCCAGAATGATCAACAAATTGATCATGGGCTCCTGAAATATAAGAAGAAGAAATCCATCACACAACCTACTAGCATTTAGATCCATCACAGAACTTACAAGCATTTAGATCTATCACACAACCTACCAGAATTCAGATCTATAGTAACCCACCAGCAATGAGATATATGACACAACCTACCTGCATTCAGATCTATCTCCTCTAACTGTATACTAGGCACAGACTTGACAGAGTCTAAATGAGGAAAGTCAAAGCTGGAGGATGCTCTCCTGCTGTACTTTCTTCTCCTCATCGATGTCGTCGACATCGAGGACTCCAGGGGAGCCTTGCCGGTCCTTGAGTTGGAACTGGGCAATATGGGGCTGTAACAAAAAGAAAAGAACCTTTAGCTTTATCAATTTATTTAATTACATTTGTTGCAAAATGCATTCACTATCATTGCTATATAGAGCTAACAAACTATTTAAGTTTTTTTGTTTTTTTTTAAGTCAAAGAGAATTAAAAATCAAGTAACTACAACAAAAAATATTTTACTTGGTCGTTTCATCGATAGAGACAGACTTCTGTAACGGAGGCTTAGCCTTTTCTTTGGGGGATTTCTGTCCCCCGTTTTTGGAATTGGGGTCATTGACATCATAGGAAGGCATTTTTGATGGTGACAAGTTTCAAAGACATAAACTGTGTCCCAGGTGATGGCAGGAAACAGTTGTTCACAGCTTGAGAATTAACTGAAATAATAATGTGATTTTTATCATTATTTCAAATACTTTTAAATATATCAGTAACAGGCCTACTAAATTAATTGTTCAAATACTTGATATTGTAATATTTCATTTTTATACATGTTAATGCATCGATCATGTTTAATTTTGCTATAGAACAACCTAATACAGAGGAATGGAAAAAAAAATATAGGCCAGATGTGACAGAGTCATCTGCTTTTATATATGATTTAATTATGTTTTGTGGCTTTAGACTTTACAAATAATGCCTCATTCACGTTTACGAGCAGGGGAATTAACTGAAACATTTTTAACAAGGAGTTTCAATAAATTGAGTAGCCGCTCTTTAATTATGAAGTTTCCACTCTTTTACCCTCTCCTTTTAGATTGCGAAAAGAAGATTAGATCTAGATTATTTTTTTTTAACGATGCAGTTGACAAATATTACACGTTAACTCATAGATAATATCCTAAGACTATTGAAAATGTACATGCCATAGTGCATCCAACAAAATTTACTTCCTGATATTAAATTTAAACAAAAACAAACAAAAAATAGCTACAATTGTATTGTGTATGCAATCATATTCATGCAGTCGCGTTTTGACGAGTGCGTGTTGACGAGTGACGTGTTTCGCCGGTGACGTTACACTTTGACATTAAATTTGTTTATCTGACAATAGACTTTGTTACAGTTCATTCATTAAAAAAAAATATTAACCACTTCTCAAACATGAAGAGGACAACTAGGTTATAGAACATGACACTTATTTTCAGACTTCATCTTTTCATGTTATTAAGGAGGAAAACTCTAAATACCACCTAAGTCCTAAGTATGGTATTATAATTTAAGTCAAACTTCTATCTTTATTGAAATGCCAGTCCACTGACGCCTCCAATACGAAATCGGTTCTACAAGTTACAAAGTTTAAATTGTTTCCTTGTAGTAATAATAATACGATTTTTTTTAAATTTTATACTGATGTTTTTAACGTTCTGATCCACCCCTCGCCCCCCCCCCCACACACACACACACAACGCCCACAATGCTCTCTTGAACATTATTTGTATCTTCGAAAAGATTGTGTACTGTCACCGTAGCGCTATCCCCTCCCCTTTTTTTCCCCCCTTCCGTGCTTAAATGATTGTTAATCTGTTTTAAATTTATGAAATTATTAAGTGGTGAGGAGAAAGAAATCTTTGTCAGATTCCAAGAAAAATAAAGGTGTCAAAATTAGTTTGCGAACTGGGGGGGGGGGGGGGGGGGGGGGGGGGGGGGGGGGGGGGGTTGCTGCGCGAGTACATATATGGTTTAAAACTGTATTTCTTAGAGTTAGACTTGTTAGAGTGGTGGCGTTCAATAATTTTGTTGCGCCAGTAATTCTATTTTTTTAAAAAAGAGAGAGAGGTTCCGGTAGGGGTATTTGGGTGGTTTAATGTTGTTTTATTATCACATTACACAAAAGTAAGAGTGGCGTGAGTGATCAATTTAAGATTGTAATGCTACAAGTAATGCTTTTGTTACGGTCACTCAAACTGTCTATTATATACTCGCATTTCAGACCCTATCCATCTTCCTTAGACGAATCATACAAGCGACGAAGTCAGTTGGACAGCAGCACAACACGACCGTGTCAAATCTGTTGACAAAGAATCATCCATCACATGTGTCGAGGTCAATGTCAGGTCAAAGGTCACCCACAAGCAGCAGACGGAACTGGGATTAAATGCTCAGACTGTGAAGTCTGAGGCGTTGAGACGTACTTTCACATAGCCCCTAGTCGGGGCCACCCCAAGGTTAGGCGTATTTTCCCTTATTTTTATTTGTAGGGGAAAATCACTATATGACGTATATACTTCCAATGAATGTTTTCCTTTAAAAAAATGTATACTCTATTAAATTATATTTAAAAGCCATTTTCCCCCAATGCATCGTTGTAAGGGTCACTTTTATTCTTCTACTATAGTTTACTATAGTCTATATTATACAAATGTGACCTTAACTACAAAATAATTGAGAACCTGCGCACTAGAGTTACTAAACATAATAATTCAGCGCAGTGACATATATATGAGGGGTATTTATTGATTTTTAAATATATTTTTTCGACCAAAAAATAGTGAAGAAGACTGAATTGTAATTTTTCTTTATTTTTAGGTTTTAAGATAAAACTTGCAATACGTGAAAGATATTTGCATTGCAATCTAAATTTATGACAACAATAAAAAAGGATTAGGTTTTTTTTTTTTTTTTTAATATCTATCAAATTCATGTTTTAACATTATATCAACATTCTCCCCCCTCACAGACCCACATGTGGTAGTACACTATATTTCCAACGTGGTTAATCTTGGCAAATTTTAGCCCAGTTACACGATTTAACAATCTGCTAACCTTCATCTATATCTGACATCCACTAAAGAAACAACTCAGGCGATAACAATCGATGATTATAGTCTTGTTCTTTATTAGGCTGATACTTCGCTTATACTTTCTCTCATCTCGCAACTCTGACTGCCCTCTACTCATACCGTAGTTACTGCCAGAAACAGCTACTGACTTGGATTCAAATCTTTTTGAATTGGCAAATAGCGATAGCAAAATATTCGGATTCGGCGCCATACATGAGCTTTCCACTCTAGGGTTGGTGTCCCGAGATCCCGGGCGATTTTTAGGTAATCTTCCCGGGAAATTTTCCCTTTTTAAATTGCAGATTGTCGCAAATTGTCGCTATAACTATAATTAAATAGTCGCTACCCGTACAGTGGAGTTAATGNCCCCCCCCCCCCCCCAGAAATCCAAATCCAATTGAACAACTATTTAAAAAATCATCTCTCCGTGTATAGTTTTAAAATCCGGGATGAGGGAAACTCTATTTCCGTTTTCCCGGGATAAGGAAAAGAAGGGAAAAAAATTATTAAAAAAGCGGTACATGAGAAAGTCCTCTGTCCACCTGGAAGAGTTCCGTCTCTATGAAACTCTATCTCTCCTGTGTTGTTCTTCAAGCATAAAAGCCCGCTCAGATATCACTCTTAACGCCACTTCCTGTTTAAATTACGGGAGAGTCGGTGAAGTATGTCGAAGGCCGTCTACTCCACTGGCAGGTTGAATGCAACACGAGTAACGAGCCGTGTTGTCTGCGTATCATTAATCCAGTATTATGTGAAGTGTGTCTGCCACACTTCTCTCTATAGTTAGACTAGAGGGCCTCATGCTTCTAAGGGGCCTCATGCTTCTAAGGGGCCTCATGCTTCTAAGGGGCCTCATGCTTCTAAGAGGCCTCAATGCTTCTAAGGGGCCTCATGCTTCTAAGGGGCCTCATGCTTCTAAGAGGCCTCACACTTCAAGGGGCCTGACACTTTGAAGACGCCTCACATTTCCTAGAGGGCTTTACACTTTTATGAGGCCTCACACTCTTTGGAGACCCGACACTTACAGGGGGCTCACACTCTTTGGAGACCCGACACTTACAGGGGGCTCACACTTCTAAGTGACTAAAGTCGCTCACATTCTTATTTTAATATAAAAGTACACAGTGGGAAACAGGTTTCCAAGTTTTTCAATTTTCAAGTCAATCAATTAAAACTCTTGACTTTTTTTAGTTTACATACTCCCACCACCACTGACCACCCCAGAAAAAAAAAAGGAAAAAAAAAAAACCAACCCCACTCCCCAAAACCCAATAAAAAAACAAAAAAAAAATCCACAAAAACAAAAAAAAAAAAAAAAAAAAAAAACATTTCCAAGTTTTTCAATTTTCCAGTCAATCAATTAAAACCCTTTACTTTTTTTAGTTTACATACTCCCCCCCCCACCGACCCCCCCAAAAAAAAAAAAAGGAAAAAAAAAAAACCAACCCCACTGCCCCAGGCCCACTCACACAACATAGACAAATTCCTCTACAACTAGTACTAAAAAAAAAAATAGCAGCCCTTTTAGTGCCAACCTTTTGGGCGGAACAATTTTATAAAATTCATTTATTGTGTTTTAAATAGTTTTAAAAGTGCACAATAACAAAAGGACAGAAAGAAAAACAAAATTCAAGCAGGAAGAAGAAGAAGAAAGCTTTGTGATAAGTAGTGCCGGGCAATGAGATATCCATCTGTATCTACAGCTTGCTAGACACTTTAAATTCTTAATTTAAGTAAGATAACTTCCTCAGTGGTGTTTCCTGAGAAAATAAACTGATATTTAATTTGATTTCAGGCCACCCAAGACCCCCCACCCCCTTTTTTTTTTTGGTTATTTATTTAGCATTTATTGTCTTTTAACTATATAAATAATTAATAATTTACATAAATGAATTAAAATTAAAATGTTATATGTATAAATAGTGTTTAATTAAGATTTGTCACAACAATCGGATCATAAAAAAACTGCTGAGAGGACCCAGACTACCCCTTACACTATGGGTCCGTTGACGCCCCTGGTTACCAATGAAGGTTGTATATGCCTGGACACTGCGCGTCCAATGAACTTAACACAATCAGGCTGCAACACTTTAATAAGCACGTATCGCATTAAAGTGTGTGGTACGGTCAACAGCGAGTTCATTTGTTGCCGCGGTAACAAGATTAGAGGCTATGTTACTATAGAAGCAACAACAATCAACAACAAAACTAAGTCCAATAATAAGCTGACCACTCATGACCCTCCATATAATGGGTTCATTTACAGTGTATTTGAATGGCGTTCTTGAATTAATGAACATAACCATAATTAAAAAGTGCTGGGGTGGTAGTAAGATAGTCTTAAATGTAACGGCAGCATGTTAATGTGATGATTTTTATTTATTATTATTATTATTATATACAGTTATCGGTCCCATGGTTATTCCAATACCACGTTTTAACTTAAAATTCGTCAGTGACAGTAGCACATGGGCTTGAAATTGACTATTCTTACGGATGAATACTGTGTGTATGTGAGCGAGCTTCGTTTAGAGGCGTGGTCGCTTTTTCCCTTCCTCCCCGCCCCCCCCCCCCTTTTTTAATTTTTTTTTTTGTATTTACCCTTTAATATTTACATCATGAATCACATGTCATCAAGAGGATTGTTGCATTCGTCGACCAATCGTACCAACTATAATTAAACAAGCTACATTTGGATTGGACGAGCGGGACGCCGTGAGCTCGCGAGCACATCAAGTTCAACTAATGCGACGATAAATATCAATTAAAACTATAAAAAAAAGAGTCCATTAAAAACCGAGATAGTTAAACAATGAAAAACAGATTACTCACCTACGTGCAGGCAGTGTCACTTGACGGCAGATATGTCAGTATCCCAGCACTGTGCCAGTATGTTTGGCAATATTCAAGGGGGGCTGAACCCGACTTCCTAGGTCAATAATAAATAGAGATCAAGGTCAAGGACGTTCAGCGTAACGACCTAGGAGAGGGGGTTCCTCAAGTAATGGTTTGAAGTCCTTATTAGATTAACATTATCAAATCTTGACAGCCGCTGAAAACACTCATCGTCTTAAGTTTGATAGACCCACCTCTGCGTGACGAGGGTAGCGTTGTACTGTACACCTTACTCCGCCTCGTCAACACACGGTTATCACACAACCCACCACCACCAGTAACAGACATAGTGTTTGTTATACACATGTTTTGTGTACTCGTCGGTAACCCCCTCACGTTAAAAAAAAAAAAATATATCAACGATTGAGACCATCAACGCTTCATTTATCTCGTCAGCTTTCGGTTTCCGACTTAACAGAGGATGATCAATTTTATTTACGTAGAATTAATAAACACATCGCTCTTTCCAAACGAGGCCCTGTGAGCCGCAAGGTCGTGTCTCTGCAAGGTGAATGTCGTTCGTACCCCACACTCGGCATTCAAGCAGCCAACCGCTTTCAATGTGTGGAATCCCCATAGTTGTGTGGTGGCGTTAGTCGTGTCTCACTGGTGAGAGAGAAAAAGGTGGGGGGGGGAGGGGGGGAGAGAAGAAAGAAGCGCTGTGTAAGCTCGCCCGCCAATTCTCTACTCTGATCCTCTCTCTAGTAATCAATACATTCTTTTAATTTTTGTTTGCGTGTACTTGTTTATTACACAAATCTTTTAGTCTATGCCCGCCTGGTTGGTAGCTACTGCGATGTCTCTAACTTTAAACAACTAAATCATGCTACCTTATACCTGTGCTTTTCAAAGTCAGGGACGTGTGACCGCTGGGGGGTGTGTGGGGAGAGGAGGCCTATGCCTATATTCAAGATCGGCGCTAAAAATTTTCTCTTCAGTCTTTTCTATGACATAATGTATAGTCCTGCTCATAATTATATTGTATGGTAACGTCACCTTTATTGGCCGCACTTTCGGATACTACTTCTTTGCTAAATGCTATTTTTATTTTATTATGTTGTTTCTTCGCTGACGAAGGCTTCCTGTCGACACGTCCGTTGTTTTGTTGTTGTTTTTTTTTCAGGTTTTCCCATACTTTGTTTCTCTCATTTCCTTTTTTTTTTTTTTTTTTTTTTTTTTTTTTAACCTAATTTCCTTTTCCCCCCCCCCCCCTTTTTTTTTTTTTTTTTTTTTTTTTTGTTTTTTCCCTTTTTTTTTTTTCTCCTTTTCTTTTTTTTTTTTTTTTTTTTTTATTTGCTTTAAACCTAATTTCCGTCTCACCCCCACCCCCATATTGCCATTATAATGCATCTGTTCGATCGCAACAAGTGAAGCCTGCAAGGTTTTTGACACACGCTCATCTATTCAAATTAAATACAAAAATAGTACTATATGCAAAAGTTCAATACAAATTTTCATATAAACATATTATGTTAAAGATCAGTTCTACAATTCCATTGTCGTGCACAGTAAGCCTTATACATATATTTTTTTTCTTTGTAAGTCAATTATTGTTGGTAGAGGCCCACCTGTGTACCGGCTTAGTCAAGTGATGCAATGTCTTCAATGTCCAGTTTAAAGTAACTTAAAAACACTCTTAACTCAGCATTTTCAGAACAAATTTCCACAGTGCATAACCATGACATGGAATTTTCTCTTGAAGTCGAAAATCCAAGAACAATCTCAAAAGCTTTGACTTCAGCCTTGAATTGGGCAATTAGCTTTCATCAACCAAAATAAGCAAATGTATCTGCAACTTAACATGTATATCATCAGACAGAGCAGGGTGCCATCAGATAAGTATCTTATCAGACAGAGCAGGGTACAATCAGACAATCACCTCACCAGAAAGAGCAAGGCGCCATCATACAAAGTGTATCACCAGACAGAGCAGGGTGCCATCAGACTGTATTGCCACGGGATAAGGTTGCATCAGACCAGGTTGCACACAGTTTTCCGCCTGGGCAGCAGCATGGGTTCACCGCAGTTGATAACACCAACCCGAGTGCCACCACTTACTCTACCATCTTGTAATCCTATCTCTTCCCCTTCTAGGTCCGGGTCCGACTGGCATGCCTACTAATAACTAAGCTGAGAAATTTAGGTATTGAAGTAGAGTTAATTCATTGGTTTAAACCATATTGACAGATCCAATCATATGAGTTTGGGGGCCCTAAGCATGGAGCGTAGGTTGGGGGCCCCGGAAGGGGGGGTCCGGGGGTGGAGCTCCCTCGAGCTGAGGAGAAAACACCACCCACCACTGCGGCACATCCATTCTGGCTTCATCAATGTTTCCTCTTTGCTTGCGTGTAACCACTAACCATATTGATAATTCCGCCACTAGAGAAAATGTGTACTTCTGAAATGTATGGACATATGTCGAGGGCGCCTCACGGGGGCCCCCTCACGTTCGGGGCCCTACGCGGATGCGTAGTCAGCGTATGCCTAAGAACGGGCCTGATATTGACATCATCTACCATAAAATGTAAATTGATTTCATTTCATTGAAATCTGTCAATGGTTCTGTCCATAGCTAAGCGGTGTCTAAAAGCGACTTACACACTCACATTATCAAAGTAAAAAAAAAAACTTTCATTATGCATCTACCAGATGTTGGGAATGAATGAAACAACAAAAAGCAGACAAATAAGGAACTTTAACTAATAAAAAAATTTTTTTTTTTTTCTTTTTGGAAAACAAAAAACGCGTTAATCAACCTGTACTTGGTGATAACAATCTGTACTTGGTGATAACAATCTGTACTTGGTGGTAACAATCTGTACTTGGTGATAACAATCTGTACTTGGTGGTAACAATCTGTACTTGGTGGTAACAATCTGTACTTGGTGGTAACAATCTGTACTTGGTGGTAACAATCTGTACTTGGTGATAACAATCTGTACTTGGTGATAACAATCTGTACTTGGTGATAACAACCTGTACTTGGTGATAACAATCTGTACTTGGTGATAACAACCTGTACTTGGTGATAACAATCTGTACTTGGTGATAACAATCTGTACTTGGTGATAACAATCTGTACTTGGTGGTAACAATCTGTACTTGGTGGTAACAATCTGTACTTGGTGGTAACAATCTGTACTTGGTGATAACAATCTGTACTTGGTGATAACAACCTGTACTTGGTGATAACAATCTGTACTTGGTGATAACAACCTGTACTTGGTGATAACAATCTGTACTTGGTGATAACAACCTGTACTTGGTGATAACAATCTGTACTTGGTGATAACAATCTGTACTTGGTGGTAACAATCTGTACTTGGTGATAACAATCTGTACTTGGTGATAACAATCTGTACTTGGTGATAACAATCTGTACTTGGTGATAACAATCTGTACTTGGTGATAACAATCTGTACTTGGTGATAACAATCTGTACTTGGTGATAACAATCTGTACTTGGTGATAACAATCTGTACTTGGTGATAACAATCTGTACTTGGTGATAACAATCTGTACTTGGTGATAACAATCTGTACTTGGTGATAACAATCTGTACTTGGTGATAACAATCTGTACTTGGTGATAACAATCTGTACTTGGTGATAACAATCTGTACTTGGTGATAACAATCTGTACTTGGTGATAACAATCTGTACTTGGTGATAACAATCTGTACTTGGTGATAACAATCTGTACTTGGTGATAACAATCTGTACTTGGTGATAACAATCTGTACTTGGTGATAACAATCTGTACTTGGTGATAACAATCTGTACTTGGTGATAACAATCTGTACTTGGTGATAACAATCTGTACTTGGTGATAACAATCTGTACTTGGTGATAACAATCTGTACTTGGTGATAACAATCTGTACTTGGTGATAACAATCTGTACTTGGTGATAACAATCTGTACTTGGTGATAACAATCTGTACTTGGTGATAACAATCTGTACTTGGTGATAACAATCTGTACTTGGTGATAACAATCTGTACTTGGTGATAACAATCTGTACTTGGTGATAACAATCTGTACTTGGTGATAACAATCTGTACTTGGTGATAACAATCTGTACTTGGTGGTAACAATCTGTACTTGGTGATAACAATCTGTACTTGGTGGTAACAATCTGTACTTGGTGGTAACAATCTGTACTTGGTGGTAACAATCTGTACTTGGTGATAACAATCTGTACTTGGTGGTAACAATCTGTACTTGGTGGTAACAATCTGTAATTGGTGATAACAATCTGTACTTGGTGGTAACAATCTGTACTTGGTGGTAACAATCTGTACTTGGTGATAACAATCTGTACTTGGTGGTAACAATCTGTACTTGGTGGTAACAATCTGTACTTGGTGATAACAATCTGTACTTGGTGGTAAAGTTTTCGTTAGATTAGAACTATTTTAAGTGGTTAAACACAGTCGCTCAAATCCCTCTTATAGAAATGGCATTTAATTGACTTCTGTATCAAGACTAATGAATTTTCATGAAAACGGAGACATGAAATGAACTTATACCGATTAGATTCGATCTGTCAGCATGAGGACGCCCATTCACTCAATTAAGGCGTTGCCCTCTTCTATAAACTAAAAATGTATGAACCTCTGCTGCATGAAAAACTGACACTGGTATTGAAAGGAATCAAATCTTTTACCGCTACCACCAGAGTACATTAAAGGCTTTATGATTTAATTTCGTATTTCTGCGTCCAGTGGATGTGTATAAAAATATTTCGGAGGCTCCCCATACGTGCGATCACTTCTTAAGTACAGGGGGTGCATTCAGTACTTTAGTACGGTGGGTGCATTCACTACTTTAGTACAGGGGGTGCATTCAGTACTTTAGCACAGGGGGTGCATTCACTACTTTAGCACGGTGGGTGCATTCACTACTTTAGTACAGGGGGTGCATTCAGTACTTTAGTACAGGGGGTTCATTCACTACTTTAGTACAGGGGGTGCATTCAGTACTTTAGCACAGGGGGTGCATTCACTACTTTAGTACGGTGGGTGCATTCACTACTTTAGTACGGTGGGTGCATTCACTACTTTAGCACAGGGGGTGCATTCACTACTTTAGTACGGTGGGTGCATTCACTCCTTTAGTACAGGGCCACGTAAGTGATGAAATCATGTCCCCCACGTATCAGTATTTTAGCACAGGGGTGCATTCACTACTTTAGTACGGTGGGTGCATTCACTACTTTAGTACAGGGGGTGCATTCAGTACTTTAGCACAGGGGGTGCATTCACTACTTTAGTACGGTGGGTGCATTCACAACTTTAGTACAGAGGGTGCATTCAGTACTTTAGCACAGGGGGTGCATTCACTACTTTAGTACAGGGGGTGCATTCAGTACTTTAGCACAGGGGGTGCATTCACTACTTTAGTACGGTGGGTGCATTCACTACTTTAATACAGGGGGTGCATTGAATACTTTAGTGCAGTGGTTCAATTCGTCTGACTAAGTAAATACTTCTCCTTAGTAAC